TTCTCTTTCAACTGCCCAATGTAATGGAGTCATTTGCAACTAAAAGTTAAATACAAAAAAATTTAATTGAATAAACCAACTGCATTCGAAAAATTATAAAATAGAATTTACCATGTTTGATGCATTAACATCAGCACCATTGGCAAGAAGAAGCAATACAACTTCACAATGTCCTTCTTGACTTGCCATATGCAAAGGAGTCTTTTCAACTTTAGTCCTGGCATCTTTTAATATACCAGACCTTAATAATAATTCGCATGTTTCTAAATGACCTCCAGCTGCTGCTGCATGAAGAGATGTTGTCCCTAACTGAAATAATAAAAAAAAAAAAATGTTATTTTATCTAAAATTACATTTCTTGAAAATCAAACTGTTAAAAAAAAAAACATTGTTAAATTTATGGTAAAGAGTTTTTAAAAAAAAAATAATTTTAAAATATAAATTGTTAATAAATTTATGTGAAATTAAAGGTAGTTACCAAGTCACAAACAATGTCAAAAAAAAAAATAAAAATAACTGTTATGATGAAGTTGTAACTGTTTACGTTTAGAAAAACAAATAAATAAAGGAAAAATATTTATACCCAATCAGTCGCAAATGGAGCTCCACCTTTCATTAAATTTCTAACGGACTCTGTATTTCCTTCCTTCGCTGCTAACAGGAGCCGTTTACCTAATTCCATTACACCAATATTGGATCCATTTACAGTATTTACAAAATCTTCTTCCCGTAAATCGGGATTAACAATAATGGCTTCGTATTGTTCTTCGTCCATTGTAAATTTTTTATTTTATACTTTAATTAAACTACATTACGGATACATATAAACTCGTACGCACTTCATATCGGATCATCTGCCTCTTGTGTTTATTATTTAAATTGGGACGCCGTAGAAAACTAATATTTATTACCACGTCAGAGAGCTCACGTTAAAATTAATTTTTTTCTGCTGACACTTTATTAATTCAATTTTATAAACAAGTATTCGATTCCCCCGATATTATTATTTCATCCAACAATGAAAATTTTTTTTTTATTGGTAAATAAAACCGATGAATATACAAACTTATATTATTATTTGTTTTAAATTTAAAAAGAAATATAAACAATTCGACAAAATTCGGCCATTATTCACAAATAAAATCTTTTTGTCAATTTGTTATTGGTGTTGTAACTTACATAAAACTTTATTGTAAGATTTTTGAACAACAAAAAAACTCTAAAATTAAAAAAATTCCTATTTATTATTATTATTATTATTATCTATATTATTCTTATTTTCAAATTTAACTTTAATTTATTTAAAAAAAAATTAGGCTAAAAAATAAAAGAAATTTTTTTTTATAAAATAATATTTAAGTTTTGTTTATTATTATTAATTTATTTTTTTCATAATAATAATTAAACTAATTCTTATCAAACTATAATTAAAGAAACAATTTAACAAACAAAAAGTAGCTTAATCAATGACACAAAATAAAAAAAAAATTATTTATTAATTTTATTGATAGCACATGCACAGAAACAGAGTTTTGACATAATAATTATATATTACAAAGAGGTAACTTTAACTAATATTATATATATACTGAAAACAAAATACATTATTTTCCTTCTCTCTCTCTCTTTTTATTAATAATAATTACAATTTTTTTTTTTTTTTCAAGTACAAAAAGTAGTATTGTTTACAATTACAAACACAAAATAAAAATAATAATAATAATAATAATAATAATAATAATAATAATAATAATAATAATAACTAAAAAAAAAAAAATTGTTTTCTTCTTATTATTTTCGATAAATACTTTTTTTTTCCCTCTTCTCCTTTAAATTATTATTATTATTATTATTATTTTATTAATTACAATTGAAAATATTTTGAACTTTAATAACCTTTAATAAACCGGTGCTAATAATGATATTAATTTAATAAAAGCGATTAATAACATAAATAATAATAATTATTATAATTATTATTACTGTTACACAAACAACTTTGCAAAATAATTATTTTTTTTATCTAAAACAATTTATTATTATTATTATTATTATCATCATCATTTCACTTATTTAAATGGGAGGAAAGGGGGGAGGGGAGGAGGAGGAGGTCGTTAAATTTAAGCGTATTTAATTTTTTGTAAAAAAAAACCAAAAGAGTTCATTTTTTTTCATAACAACGACAATCATTAAATTCTTCTAATAATAATTATTATTATTAATAAATCCTTTGTGTCGTTTGTTTGTTTGTTTGTTTGTTTCTTTGGCTTTTTTTTTATTATTATCATAAATATCATTATTATTTATTTTCATGGAAATTTATCGTAAAGACTTCACCGCCACAAAATTTTTTTTGTCACTGATTGTTCATTTAAATTTAATTCCTAACATTATTAATAATTAATTAATAATTATTTATTAAATCAAAAAAAAAGTTAAACTACATATTATTTATTTATTTATTTATACAGATAAAAATATACACAAAAAAAAAACGAAAAACAGTCTGTCTAAATTTTACAATGACAATTGTAATATTTATATATATATATATATATATATATATATATATATAATTATTATAATACAATTTTGGCGGTTATTTTAAATATGACATAAACACAATTTTTAAAAAATTATTTATTTATTTATTAAAATGCACAAAAGTGTGTGTATGAGTGATTGTTATCATTATCATTATCAGGTTTTTCTCCCCTCCTTTTCTAACAAAAAAATTAAAATGTATTAATTTTTCATTTCCACACAAATAATTTATATAAAAAGGAAAAAAAATTATTACAGAAATTAAATTATTATTATTATTATTATTATTATTATTATTACTAATACTACTATCAACTACTACTACTACACAACATTTAAATTTTTTCAAGCAAAAAAAAAAAAAAAAAAAAAAGTAAAAAAAAAAACATTTTTACAAATTAAACATATACATACACACACACACACACATATACATAAATGTACATAATGAGAAGAAGAAAAAAAAACAGCCGTGAAATATACTTAAAAAATTATTATTATTATTATTATTACTACAATTCGTGACGTATTTATGGATGAATGAATGAATAAATGAATGAAAAACAATTTTTTTTTTTTTTTTACTATTTAAATCCCTTATACAGGTATTATTATAGGATAATTTCATCGTGCCATCACGACAACAACAAAAAAAAATTAAATTCGCACATTTCTCATACTCACACGCACCCGCACGCACATACACACGTACGCACACACGCACATGCACACGCAAAAAAAAATTTCAATTCCACACATTTTTTTTTTTTTAAATTTTTTTTATAATTTTTATTTTATTCGACTAATATTTATTTATATATTTATTTACAAATGGCGGCGACGTGAAAATTCTGGTGGGTTTTGTTTTAACACATTAAACTAATAATAATAATAATTAATAATAATAATAATGATAATAATAATAATAATAATAATAATAATAATAAACTGGCAATTGATTATTTAATACTAATTATACAAATTTTTTATTTAATAAAAATTCCTTTCTTTCTTTTTTTTCTTATTTTATTTTTTTTTTTAAAGAGAGAAAGAAAATATAGTTTATTATATGTATATAAATGAAAAATTGAAAATAATTAAATACATAATTATTATTATTATTATTATTATTTTCAATAATGGCAAATATTTTTAAAAAAGTTGACAATAATTAATTAATAATAATAATAATAATAAATAATAAACTATTTCTTTCTCCTTTTCTTTCCTTCCCTCTCTTTCTTTTTCTATCTTTTTTTAAATGTTTTTTACTTATTATTATTATTATTATTTATTTATTTATGAAATTTTCTTTTTATTTTTTGTTATATATTAATAGTAATAATAATAGTCATTTTACTCCATTTTATTTTTTAAAAATTTGAATTTAATAAAAATAAATAAATTATATAACTAGAAATCGAAGGGAAAATTTTATTTAACCGTTAAAATTACAATTTAAATTTAAATTTAAATTTTTAAAAGAGAAAAAAACCGTTAAAAAATTTTTTATTAACTTTATGTATTATGAATAATATCAATAAATTTGAAAAAAAAAAAAAAAAAAAAACCAAATCGAAAAGTAAAACCGGGAAAACAAAAGAAAAAAAACAAGAAAAAGTACGTAAAAGTTTTTTTGTTTAAACAAAAACCAAAATTTCTTTTTTTTTTTTTTTTTTTTGTTTTATTTTATTTTATATTTTATAGAAAACATTTTTATTATTATTATTATTATTATTTCACCAGTCTATATTTTCAATTTTTTTATTATTATTATTATTATAAACAAAATAAAAAAAAAAAAAAATAACAAAAATATTAATAATAAATGAATGAAATGTGAAGATCCACACGTGGATGGCAGACTTAAAAATTCGTTTTTTAATTTTCCCCCCAAAAAAAAAAATTTTTTTACTTCCGGTTTTACTCCCATTCGATAAATAAACAAAAAATCGGTGATTCCCCCCTTTTTCAATAATTTACATCCTTTAAAAAAAAAAAAAAAAAATTGAAACTAATAATAATAATAATATTAATAATAAATGATTTATCACACACGAAATCATAACCATAAATTTATTTATTCATTTATTTATTTAAAAAATTATTAATAGTAATAATAATAATAATAATAATAATTTTTATTGTTTTTCACATTAGACGAAATTTCAAGTTGCCATTTGAGATCTTTAAAATAAATATTTGACAAAAAAGTATAGAAAAAAAAAAAAAAAAAAAACACATACAGAGAACAACATAAACAAAAAAAAAATTTCGTTTTTTTTGGCAATACAAACAAAATAATAATAATAATAATAATAATAATAATAATGATTATAATAATGTCCGATACGGCGAAAGAATAAAAAAAAGGTAATAAGAAAAAGGAAAGAAAAGGGAAAGGGGATAGTAAAAGAAAAAAAAAAATTTTCTTTCACAAACGTTTTTTTTTTTTTTTTACAATAACAAACTTTTTTCTTTTCCTCTCGCTCCCTCTCTCCCCTCCCCTCCCCTCCCTTTTCCTATCCTTTTCTTCCTTTTTTCCTTTTTTATTTTTTTTTAAGGCTTAATAAATACTTTCCTAAAACACATATTTAAAAAAAAAAAAAAAAAAAAAACTACAATGGGTTGAAGCACCTCTATTATGTACAAATTTCTTTTGTTAAATGAAATCGGTCAAGTTCGATATCAAATACACTAAAAAAACAGAGAGAGACAGAAAAAAAAAAATGGCGAACGATAAACCGATATCATCATCATCATCATCATCACAACAACAACAACAAGTAGTAGTGGGGTGGTAAGAAATTTATATTAAATAAATCAAAAGAATCTAAAAAAAGTAAAGAAAGGGAAGCAGAAGTAAATGAATAATGATAATAATAATAATAAACAACAAAAAAAAAAAAAAAAAAAAAACAAAAACAACAACAACGACAGAGACGACAACGACAGCAGCAGAGACAATTATTCGGCAGAGAGATCAATCGAACAAGTCAACAGAAAAAAAAACTTTTTCTTCTTCTTCTTCTTCTGGAAATTTTTTTTTTTTTTTTTAGGAACGGCGACGGAAGAACATACAAAAAAAAAAAAAAAAAAAAAAGAGGAAATCTAATCGGATGAGAAAATTAAAAAATGATAATGATAATAATAATAATAATAAATATTCAACAAAATATTAATAATAATAATAATAATAATAATAAAAAAGAAAATAAATACCCGAAACGAAAAAAAAAAAAAAAAAATACAAGTTCTAATCATCATCATCATCATCATCAATGTCCTAAATTTCCTTTTTTCCTTTTATTCCTTTTTTCCTTTTCAAATGTATAAAATACAATTGGAAAACCCGGGAAAAGGTTTCAAAGGAAAAAAAAAAAGGTAAACTTTTTCCTCCCCTCATTACAACAACAACAACAACAACAGCAACTTCTTCTTCGTCGGACAACAACTCTTGTTTTTTGACAACATTTACAAATAATAATAATAATAATGATAATAATGATAATAATAATACGTTATCAATAATTGTCGGGAGGAGGAGGAGGAGGAGGAAGAGGAGAAGTCACAGAGATGTTGTGGTCGTTGTGGACCTTCAGCTTTGCTTGACGCGTTTTCTCGGTGGTCCGATCGGAGGATTTTGTTGCGTTGCCAAAGCTCGATATGCTTCTTCGATAAGATTCGGATGAGAATTTATCATGGATTTCCAACCTGACGTCTCCATAACTTCAGTCGCGTGCCTGTGATAACGAAAAAGGTTTTAATCGTTCCTTACTTACGCTCCCCCGAAAAATTTTTGAAATGAAAAACGACTCACGTATTTATAAAATCTATAGCTTGTGCTTTGAGTTGATTAGCAGTATGGAGATCAGCCAATATTAGGGTTTCCGCAGCATTTTCTGTTGATAAACCCGTGCAAAGAGCTTCTTCGCACATGACTTTCAGCCTTTCAAGAGCGTACTGTGGGGAAAAACGATATTAATAATAATAATAATAATAGTAACGATAAACAGTAATTTTATAAAAAAAACAATAAATATACTTTATCTGCTGCTGCTAAGAGATCGCCAGCCATTTCTTCCAAATTGGAAGCCATGCCTGTATATATAAAACGTAACATTTCCCTTAAAACCTCGTGATCGACATCCGTGATCTCTACCCGATTGTGTTTACTTTCTTCCATCGCGTGTTCGAACATGGCGGCAAAAACCATACTTCTAGCAGCTAAAACGGCTTTGTGTGCCTTTAAAGGGGATAATAACAAAACACAACACACAATAATCAATACAAATCGTCAAAACGAAACAAAATAATAATAATAATAATAATAATAATAATAATAATAATAATAATAATAATAATAATAATCACCTGGAACTCTCTACCGCAAACGGATAAAGTAACATCACTAAATTTTTGATTATCGAATAACGACCCGAAATCATCGGATAATCGACATTCTGGAACTTTGAACTGTACCGCATTGCTTTGCCCTGAGATGTTAATGGAATCTGCAACGACGCTAACCTAATAAAAAACAAAAAAAAAAACAAAATCTCGTAACAATAACATGAAAACCTAAAAAAAAAAATTTAAAAGAGAGAAATTAGGGCGATTTCAAAATTACAAAAAAAAAAAAAAAAAAAAAAAACTTTTTATTGCCAAAGCGTTCTCGGGTTCACGAATGGTCCTCCTCTCCTTTCCCCCCCCGCCCCCCCGCTCTCTGTGCTCCTCCTCCATGTCGACGACGTTTCCAAATCGTTTTTAATTTTTTTTTTAAACATTAAAAATTATTATTATTTTATTTTAACGCCCTAAAAATCACAAACGTTCATTTCTCATTTCGCTTTTTATGTATTAAACGTTTAAATATTATTATTATTATTATTATTATCATTTTAATGAAAATAAAAAAAAAAAACTGCGAGAAATTAATTACGGTAAACTAGTTTCGATTCAAATAAAATAATGATAATGATGATAATAATAATAACACATTCGCATAACTTTCACGTCTATCGCAATATTTTTAAGGGTGTTGCTCCCGAATATTAAAAAAAATAATAATAATAATAAAAAATTAATTTTTTTTCTTTTTTTTTTTTTTTTTCAAAATTTATCAACCTTGATCCGCCACGCATTTCATCAACTCTCTCTCTCTCTTTCTCTCTCTCACACTCCCACTTACCTCCTATCAATGCAGGTGAGAGAGAGAGAGGTTTTCATGTAAAGAAAACAACAACGCCACACCTCGAAAAAAAAACATAACAAAACAAAATAATGTAAAACATTTTTTTTTTTCTCTCCATAAATAAATAAATAAATTTATAACGAACGCGAAGTCACAGAGTAAATAAACAAAAACAATCGTCGAGGCAACTGTACGAAAACAAAAACAAAAACAAAATCAAATTGAATTCATTACGTTACGAGCGGATTAACGAAGGGGGAAGGGAAATGAGGGGAAGGCAGGGGGGGGAAATGACATAAGAGGTCGATTAATGACCTGAAAATGACTTTTTATGTTTTAAAACGAAAAACCCTTTTTCTACCTCCTATTTTCATAATTTTTTTCATTTAATGGCGGACGGTTCGCGCGGTCACCTGGTTTACTCGTCGTCAATTTATTTATTTATTTTTTTTTTTTTTCGCAAAATCGAGAACGCTTCATCACACGACCAGAACATACAAAAACGGACTTGACGACTACTTTCTACATTCAGGTAAATAATCAGGTCAAAAGTAAAAAGAGTGAGAGAGAGAGAGAGAGAGAGAGAGAGAGAGAGAGAGAGAGAGAGAGAGAGAGAGAGAGAGAGAGAGAGAGAGAGAGAGAGAGAGAGAGAGAGAGAGAGAGAGAGAGAGAGAGAGAGAGAGAGACAGAAACGTGATGTTCGTGGTAAACTTTTCAAGTCGCTTAAAAAAAAAATTTTTTTAATAAATTATGTTATGTTATTGTACCAGCTCTTTACCCCGTCCCCTCCCCTCTCCTCTCCTCCCTCCCCAACCATTATTAACCGTTTTTTTTTATTCCAGGAAATAATTTTCTTTTTAGTTTCCTTTAATGTCGCTCTCAAGGAATTTTTTTTGTTGTTGTCTCCTCTTTATCGACACGCAATTAATTTCGCGCATTTATGACGTACGTAATAATAATAATAATAATAATAATAATAATAATAATAATAATAATCATAGAGAAAATAAACGTAATAATAATCTCTCTCACCTCACAAAATATTGTAAGTTTGTCATCGGGCAATAACCCATTTGCTTCGTCCAACAAAAAGTCTCTTCTTATAAATTTTTTAAATCCCCAGTCTTTTCCTTGTACAAATCTGTACGCTCTTTGGCTCTCTGAAAATAAATAAATAAATAAAATTAATTAATTAATTAATTAATTAAATCGAACAGAAATAATAATAATAATAATTTTAAAAAAAAGCGAAGGTCGAAGAGTAAAAGTTTTCTCTCTCTCTTTCTCTCTTTCGTAAATATTCACAAGACATCATCAAATACTTTGACTTTTTTCGGAGAGAGAGAGAGAGAGAGAAAGAAGAGAAAGGAGAAAATTTTTGTTTTGTTTAACAAATAAAACGGGGGGAGGGGTGTGGGGGGCCGGGGTTGCGACGACGACGCGACACGTCGAAATTTTCTCCATTTACTTCAAACATTCACGCCAAGGATAAATAATAACAAAACTAAATAAAATAAAATCCGCCGTTAATAATTGTAAGAACCGCGGCGGCATTGAAAAATTAAAAAAAATAAATAATGATAACACAATAAATGGCGGCATTCGATTTTTATCAAATGCATTTATCGATTTTCCGTTTAATAAAATATAAAACGGTCAAACGTGTAATTTTCACGAAAATTTTTCCCCCCTTCCCCGTCTCCTTCCACGTTCTCGGCCTGTCGTTCGTTCGTTCGTTCGTTCGGTCGCGAGAGAGAGAGAGCGCGCGCGCGCGCGCCAAAAACCACCGAGGCCGCCATTTTGCTTTTTTTAAAAAACAAAAAAAAAAACAAATCTCTCTTTCCCTTCTTACCCATAGCTTTTGTTTCCTCCCTCTTTGCATTTAATATAGAAAATTTAAATTTGGCCCGTACTTCTGACTTGTTACAAGAGACTAGGAGAAGATAAAGGGAGAGGTAGTCTTTGGATTCCTCGTCGAGGCCCTTTGGATTGACTCGCAGGCACCATTTTAATTTGTCGTTAGCCCCCGCTGAAAAGGTTGATGATTTCAATACTTCACCCATTTCCTCTCGGCAGAAACTGAAATTGTTTATTGTCCACATGTAACTGAATTTCACTACTTTTACCTACGGAAAAATAAAACAGAAAAAACAAAAATTTTTTTTTTAACATTTTCATCATTCGTTCTTATGCCACGTCGAAAAACAAACTTTTACATCATTACTATTATTATTATTATTATTTTTAATTTCAATTTCATAACAACAACACTTATTCAATAACATAACATACGGTTATGATTTATTCCATAATAATGATTGAAGCTTTTTTTTTAAAGCGATATTCGTCCTTCTGTATATAAATAAATAAATAGAGAGAGAGAGAAAGAAAGAAATAAAGAGAGAAAACTTATTCATCACGATATAATCGAAAAGTTTTCGCCAAGTGAATGTGATTGTTGGTGAAAGCATGGCGGTAACAAAAAAAAAAAAAACTTAATCATTTTCTCCACTGTCAAATACATTTGAGTAAATGTTACGCACTCACAAACAGTAAACAAAACAAAACAAAACGAATAATAAAAAAAGTCAAGAAAGAGAGAGAGAGAGAGAGAGAGAGAAAACTTAATTAATAATTATTACATAAAAGGTTATTATTATTATTATTATTATTATTATTAAGACATCGCTCGCTCCCGCGCCGCCACGTTTTCTGGTGAAATTAATTTTTTCTTCCTTCTTCTTTTTCTTAATGAGTTCCGTTGGAGAGAGAAAGAGAGAGAGAAAAAGGCGAATTTTTTTCTTGTAAAAAAAAAAAAAAAAGAAAGAAAGAAAACAAAACGAAATCAAATAAAAAAAAAAAAATGTATTTATTTATTTATTTGGTAAACGAGGAGAAAGTATTTTTCGGGGGGGGGGGCGATTGTTTTTTTTTTTTTTTTTCACTTTTAAATCAGAGCGCTATCGTTTCTCTCTCTCTCTCTCTCTTTCTTTTTTACTAAATCATGGCGAATGTTGAAGAGAAAGGGGGGGGGGAATATTTCCGCATGGCACAAAAACAATTAAATTAAAAATATTTAAAAAGAGAAAAAAGAAAGGTAAAAAAAAAAAAAAGTAAAAACATCCTCTCTCTCTCTCTCTTTCTCTCTCTCATAACTTTTCCTTTAATAATAATAATAATAATAATAATAATAAAGCCAACGGCCATAGCGTGCTGGTCACACCGGTTCCCGTACGATCACCGAAGTTAAGCAGCATCGGGCGTGGTGCAAACTTGGATGGGTGACCGTTTGAGAACGCCACGTGCTGTTGGCTTAAAAAGAGCAAAAAAAATGAGAACAAGACAAAGTAAGAACCAAAAACAAAATCTTGTTCTACTGTCGACCTGAGGCAGCTCGACGAGAACGTGAATTTCACTGCTTCTGACCCTGGCCACTCCAAAGATGTTAGTCACCGGAGCCCAGTTCAGGAGACAAATCGTTCCCATCGAAAAAGACGGACTCAGGAAGACCTTCAAGAATTGATGTGGTGCTATCTTATAATAAGTGGCACCACCGAAATTCGAGTATTTGTCCCTAAGGAATCGGGTAGAAACCTCGGATAAATACTTAAAAACTCCGACAAGTAGCCTTGTCGTGTTTAATGGTGGATAATAATAATAATAATAATATTATCCGCAAACGAAATAATAATAATAATAATAATAATAATATTATCCGCAAACGAAATAATAATAATAATAATAATAATAATATTATCCGCAAACGAAATAATAATAATAATAATAATAATAATAAATAAAATTCCCATTTTTTTTTTTTTTATCGTTAAGGAATTATACGAGACCGTGAACATGAAGCCAGAGATAGATAGAAGAAACTCAAGGTCGGTAAATATTTTGATAAAAAAAAAAAAATATTTTTTATCAATAATCAGAATCCCATTGTTGATTATTCACCTTCAATCCGAAAATATATTTTTTTTTTTTTCAAGGAGAAAAAAACCATCAAACGTATACACGCGGCGTGCGGTCGGTTTTCAACGCCATCATTTTATTTATTTATTTATTTATTTAAAAGAAAAAAAAATTTTTTTCTTCTTCTTGTTTCGACTGTAATTTCGTCTGCTTCAATGCTACAAACGCGATTTTTAACGATTATCCCGTTTCAAGTTCAAATAAATAACAAAACGAAAAAATTAAAAAAAATTTTTTTTTTTTTTTACCTTATTTATTTATTTTCAAGTCTCCCCCCCCCCAAAAAAAAAAAAAACCATTAAATTAAAACGTTGCTCCCGAAAATATCGAATTCGTTTTTTCTCCGCCATCTTCCCACTCACCGCCTTCCCGAAAAATCCCTTTGCAAATTTTTTTTATTTTTCAAATGTTGGCAACGAACGTGCATGTATTTACGCGAATTTAAATTTAACGTTAAAATTAAAAAAAAAACATATGAAAGAATTCGACCCGTCATGATGAACTTAAAAGAATGTCGTCAGTGATTTGTTGTGCTCCCCCCCCACCCGGGAAATGGCTCCACATTTAATATCGCGCGAGAAAGACGATGTGAAAAAACGTGTAATTTTTTTTTTTTTTTTAAAAAAAAGAAAGAAGGAAAGAAAAAATAAAATAAAATTGGGAAAACGAAATTCAAATGACAGGTATATAAGTCCTCCCCCCCTCGTACGGAGATTTAGAAAGTTTTCTCTCTCTCTCTCTCTCTCACTTTTTTGAAAAGAAAAATTGATTGTAATTAAACACACACCGGAACCCGGAAGTAAAACGAGTCTCATATTAACTTTTTTTTTTTTTTTTTTTTTTTTTTTTTGGAAGTTTTAAAAATTTCTCGACTACGCAAAAACAAACAAAAGCATCGCTTATAATATATAAACGCGTAAACGCACGCACGCACGCACGCACGCACACGCACACAAACGCACGGCGTGTTTAACTTATTATTTATGCAAAAAAAAAAAAAAAAAAAATCAACTCTATAAATTTTCTCTCGGGTTTTCCTTTTCCGCCCCCCTCTTTTCCCCTTTTTAACCAATAATCAATGAAAACGTTAAAAAATTCAAATCGAAGAAATTCTAAGAAAAAAAAATGGCGAACGCGTGCACGCACGTATACACGTGTACGTGTAAGGGAAAACCCTCCGTTCAAAAGTTTCATTAATAACAAATGAGCTAAAGATTTTCGAAAGGCGGTAGGAGGGAAGGGGGGTGGAGTTAAAAAAAAAAAAAAAACCCGCACCACAATTCAATAATAATAATAATAATAATAATTATACAGGTTTTTCTAATCTGAAAACCTTAAAAAAAAAAAAAAAAAATTATTAACGGTTGTCAACATTGTTTGTTTTGTTTACATTTTAATTAACCCCATTCATTGATCAGCTGATCTCATTTAAAACAATGAAAAAAAACCGATTCACAAAACCCACCCGGTAATTGTTCATAACATTACCACAACGAAAGACAACCAGCCGCCATTTGGAAAATTATTTTCCACGGATCAAAGAAAAGAAACGTTTGGAAAATCGAAAACAACATGGCTCCGAGTCCGCATTAAAAAAAAAAAAAAAAACAAAAAATTTGCACTTTCTCAAAAGTCATTGGGCAATTGTCATAATTTTTTCTCCTTTTTTTTTTTAGAAAGGAAACGATTGAAAGAGAAACGGAAAATGCGTAATAGAAAGAGAGAGAAAGAGAGAGAGAGAGAGAGAGAGAGAGAGAGGGGGGGGGGACATTAAACGAACAAAACGAATTGAACCGGTCAAACATTGATTTCTTTTTAGAAGGGCAGGCACACAGAGAAAGAAAGAAAAAATTTAAAAATTGGCATAAAACTCATCAACTTATTTGCCCCCCCCCTTTTACTTCTTCTACTCCTCCTCCTCCTTCTCCCCCCAACAACAAACGACAAAATCTTATTTCGTTACATAAACATTTTCGAATTATATGAATTCATTATTAAATTAGCTAACAACCAATAAAAAAAAAAAATTCGTTTAATAATAATAATAATAATAATAATAATAATAATAATAATAATAATAATAATAATAATAAACGCCAATCAAAATCATCTATTTGATTTTATTTTACACAAAATTTTTCAATTTTTCATTTTTTTTTTTTTTTAGAGGTCAAATTATTTAAACGACAAGGCTAATAAAAACAACAATTGAACATGAATCAAAAAAGCTAAAAAACAAAATGAACTTGAATTTTGTGTGTGTGCGTGTGCGCGTGCGCGTTTAACAAATTTATGGCAAATTCAGTTATACTTCTCTCGTACGAAAGAAATGAAGGACGAAACAAAAAAAAAAAAAATTCACGGTCTCTATAAACTAGGAAATAATCCTGGAGAATTAAATATACGTTAAAAACGTCAACAAACAAACAAACAAACAAATTTGAATGTTTTTTTTTTCAAAGGACAAACTTCATCGTCCTCACATTTTTTTCAAAAAAAAAAAAAAAAAAAAAAAAAAAAAAAAAAAAAACCTTACGATTTAAACACCGCGTACCCCCCCCCCCCGTACCTTTTTAAAATGTCGAGAATAAGGTTTTTTAAAATAATAATAATAATAATAATAATAATAATAATAATAATAATAATAATAATAATAATAATAATAATAATAATAATAATAAATAAAAACTCAATTAAACCGAATTAAGAATTGCGGAAATTCCTTCGAAGAGAGAGAGAGAGAGAAAAAAAAAAATTACCCATGTATGGGCATTACGCAAGTACGTACATTTTTTTACATATATACGTACTACTCATTGCCGTTTTGTAACCTTTTCGGGAAGGAAAAAATTGGAGGCTTTATACTGTCAAGCGCGATTTGCTATGACGAAGATGAGCATAAACTAATAATAATAATAATAATAATAATAATAATGACGAAGATTAAAAAAAAAATAAAAAAACGTATGCACATGGAAATCATAATCGTGTAAACACACACACACACGTTGCCGCATTTTAAAACACCAACGATCTAGATCACCTTGGTTTCTAACCGAATATTCGAGTAATTGCCTACAAATAAGTTTTCTCTCTCTTTCTCTCCCTCTCTCTCTCCCCCTTTCTCTCCTTCATAACGACTTTAGAAAAATTCAATTCATTTATCATCATCATCATCATCATCATCATTTTTGTAGATTTTTTCGACATAATAAACATCCGCATTTAAATTTTTTTCTATTTGAAATTGATCAATTATTATTATTATTATCATCTTCAATAACATCGTGCGAAAGAAGTAAAACGAGAGAGAGAGAGAGAGGGGGGGGGAGGAGAGGGGGGAAAGAAAAGAAGAAAGGATTATCTCTTGGCAAATGATGATGGGTTCCGATCGTTGCAAGACTACGACGTATTCAAAACGTTTTCGTCGGAGGTTCGGATGCCAGAAGAGGAACGACGAGACCATTAATGATGAAGGGGTCGATGGTTCAACTGGGAGCACTGCACTTTAGGTGTAACGGCCTCCGCTTCAAGGTCGATGTTCACCGCTGCCCTCTTTCGAGGTCAACGTTTTCCGTTTGATCGTAAGTAACCTCACGTGCATGTGTGAGCCGAGCTTCTCTCCAGTTTCATTCTAGACCCGTGGACACGTGCCAGTTTCTCGTGTCAAACTTTTTTTTTTTTTTTTTTTTTCCTAACTTCCATCAAAATTTTTTCCCACGAAAATGTTACGCACGTTTGTATTAATTTATCAACTTTGAAGAAGTTAAATTTTTTTTTTTTTTTTTTTTAAATGGGGACTAACGATAAGTTCCATTTGTAAATTAATTTTACTATTAGTCATTTATTTTATAGCCTTTCTTCTTTTAATAAAAAATTAATTGTTTCGCGTAACAAAACAACAACACTTGAAAAATTCCCAAAAACGATAAAACTAATAAATAATAATAATAATAATAATAATAATTTGTCAAGTTATATAAGAAAAATAAATTGCAAACGTCTCGAAAGGACAATAATACACGTCAATAAAAAAATTCAGGAAAAATTATCTCCAAGAACGTTTTATATAGCGAAAAAAAAAAAAAAAAAAAAAAAATTATCTAATCAAAGCTATCTCCCGCTTTGATACACAACTATCACATGAGGTCATCGTTCTACTATTATTAGCGCAACCATTAATACAACTTGTGCCAATTGTGAATCGCAAGAATATTAACTAGATATCCCACATTACGGATGAGGTCATCGATCTTGAAGAATCCATCTTAAAATGATGATGGTTAGCAGCAGCTAACTTCCCGGTTGGGCAAAAAACCTCATTCCAAGCACATAAAAAAAGGCCATTGAAAAACAACAACAAGAAAAAAAAAAAATGCACTTTGCTTTAAGACTCAGAATAACAATAACAATAATAATAATAATAATAATAATAATAATAATAATAATGATATATCATATCGGTTCATCTACAAAAAAAAAAGGTTTTGTCGAAGGAGTTTCGCGGCGTTTATAATCACGTAATGTAAAATGTGTAATAAAATGTGAAATTAAATTATTATTATTATTATTTACCTGTGTGTAACACCAACTTTCCGCCACTGGAGTGTTACCTTCTTGTGGTGGAGGGCTGGGCACTCTTGCCACAGCCATGCTTACCGACGAAACCCGCGGAGAGCAATCACTCACCACCGGCAGTCTGGAAAAACAAAAAAATAAAACATAATAATAAGTTTATTCAAAAAAATAAAAAAAAAATTTAAATCAATGGCTTTTTTATATACGAGTTCAATCCACGTGGTGAATGATCTCCATCACAAAAAAAAAAAAAAAAAAAACAACTGACTTAATGCCAATGAGTCAGAATATTAGCTGACATTGAAGACTTTGAAATAAATTCACGTTAAATAAAAATAAAATTTTTAAATAAAAAGCCAAATTTTATTTCTCTCTCTCTCTCTCTCTCTCTCTCTCTCACTCATTTTGTTTCCACCTTTTTACTCTTTTTTTTTTTTTTAGAAATACATTAATGACCAGAGAAGGAGAAATCGAAAGAAAAAAGGAGAGCAAAAAGACAACAAACATCGTTTAAAAAATCAATACAAATTATTTTTAATCTCACACAAACCTCCTCCTCCTCCTCCTCCTCCTCATAATTAATGTTACGAACACTAAAAGCTCCATTTACAATAATAAACTACAATTAATTGGAAAAAATCATTAAAAAAAATTTAAAATTACTTCAAACCTCTTATTAATATAAAAACCTAATGATGATAATGATAATAATATTTTTTACGGCTATTTACGATTTCTCATTTCCTTTTTCTTTTTTTTTAATGGCAAACTTATTTAAAAAAAAGAAAAAGGAAAAGAAACAAAATGGCAAGAAGTGAAAATGAAGCGAAATTTCTGTCAATTTCACTACCTCCTCCTCCTCTTCCTCCTCGAAACACTTTTCAAAAATAAATGGTCCAATTCTTTCTTCTAACATACCGACCAACTGGTATTTTCCTATGAATCAGAGACCAAGAGCGCGTGTAACCAAAACTCACTTCCTCGTTTCTCCGCGTTCTCGAAAAAAAAAAAAAAAACTTTCTTTCCAACAAATACTAATATTATAGCATTATTATTATTATTCGCTACCATTTTTTTTTTTTTTTTTTTTTTTTTATTTTCGCAACTGTAAAATCTTTCACCGTTTCATTAACCCCCGCCCCGCCCCGCCCCGCGCCCACACACTCGCGGGGTAATGACCAAAAAAACATTTAAGAGAAAAGAAATCAATTTGAGAGAGAGAGAGAGAGAGAGAGAGAGAGAGAGAGAGAGAGAGAGAGAGAGGACTCCTCTCGCGTACTTTCATCGACTCCTCTAAATTTTTTTTTTTTTTTTATATTTTATTTTATTTTCACTTTCAATATATATACAAGAAAACGTTAATCATTATTATTATTTCGCATTATTTTTAATTTAAACAACGACACGTAAATACGAAAAAAATAAAAAGTTTTTTAAAGAGAGAGAGAGAGAGAGAGAGAGAGAGAGAGAGAGAGAGAGAGAGAGAGAAAACATACTTTCTTCGAAAAACAATCCGGGTAAAATTTTATTATTATTTTTAATCGGTCATCACATAATAACACAACGTAATGATGGTATATAAAAAAATTATATAATCTCATAACCCGTAATATCCATCAAATCCATGTGGCGGCAGAGCCCCAAATTTCTATTTATTTATTTATTTATTCGTGCCCGATTAATTTTCCATCTATGTGACCTACCTACCTACCCACCCCACCTACCTACACTTACTACAAAATCCATTTATAAAAAACCCAATAACATTCGAATGATAATAGTTAGTTATTAACATCGAAAATAACAAAAACCTCAAATAATAACCCTCATTATTATTATTATTATTATTATTAGAGAGTTAATTACTTCCTCGTTTCGTCTTCTTATACCGCTCACTATTGAAATCTCCCCACCCTCCCCCCCCAAAAAAAAAAAAAAAATTAGAAAACAATAAAGGAAGAACGTTCTACGAAATTAAAAACTTTTACTTATTATTATTATTATTATTATTATTATTATTATTATTATTATTATTATTATTATTATTATTATTATTACTTTTCTTTCTTAAAACAAAATTTATAACCGTTTTGTCATGGACGCTCCACGATTACGTAATGAATAAAAAAAAAAAAAAAAACGTGTACGTAAGTAAAGGGAATACAATATAGAGACGACGACGATGCTAACGTTAAAACCGGCGGTCCGCCATTTTGAAAATTCATTCACACTCGGAAAACTCGGGAAAATTTTTTTTTTTTTTCAATTTTCGAATTGTTAATAATAATAATAATAAACTAAATAAATAAATTTAATATACGAACGGCATTGACACATTGATCTTTGGTTTTTTTTTTTTTTTTTACAAAGAAAATTTAGAGTACAGCGGTTAAATCCTTTTTTACAATTGACGTGACACGATGGAAATTTTAATTATTATTTTCCCGAACGAATCAAACTAATAATAATAATAATAATAATAATAACTTATTTTAATTGTATATATCTCTCTCTTTCATCGAATCAAAAAAAAAAAAGGCTTATTATAAAAACACGTTTAAAATGACAACAAGACGAAGACGACCACAACAACAACAACAATAATAGTAATAATAATAATAATCACATCGGATTTACGTATATACATCCATTCATACATTGTGAAAAGTGAAAAAATTAAAAAATATTAAGGACCCACAATAGAAATAAAGTTTGACCTTATATTTATTTCACTCGACAAGGGCTAAATAATAATAATAATAATAATAAATTTTATTCCTGAGAAAATAAAAACAAATTACGATCGATAATCTGGGGGTCACAACCACCACCACAGTTAATTATAAGACATTTTTTATATTTTTTTATTATTTCAAATAATTTCCTGGCCTATTAGCTATCAATGAAATAAATAAAAAACCTTCGTTAATTTTTTTTTCCTTTTTATTTAAATCTAACCTCCATTTTGTGCGTTGAGAAATGTTGAAAGTGTCTCATGGTGTGTGTGTGTGTGTGTGTGTGAAAAAATTTAAAAAAGAAAATAAAAGCAGAGCGAACATTTTTTTTTTTTTTGTCAACAAAGGTAAACGACGATCGAAAAGTTTCTCGATTGGTTCTCACGCAAAAAAAAAAAAAAAAAAAAAAAATTAAAAAAAATTAGAAACGTTACGTTAACGTCACAGTAGGACCTTGTCAACGTATCACTTCGCGACCTTTGATATGTAATTGGTTCTAGCACCACGGCACGGCCCTGTCACGGTTCTCGTGTATACGTACGTCTTTTTTTCCAACACTACGTTCACCTTATTCCCGTTCCCTTTAAATAATAATCATTGTTTAAACATAAATGGGTGTTTGACACAAAAAGTTAGGTTCAACACTTTTGCTTCCATGGCTTTTCTTTCGCACAAATATCAATAATCTTATCATCACCCCCACAATAATCATTATATATATATATATATATATATATATGCATGCCTCCTTTCGTCGTATTAGTTTTTAAATGTCAAATCGAAGGGGTCAATAGGTCACAATTGATATTTCATATACAGTAACAACACTTTTTTCCCATAATTTTATGTGGGTCAATTTTTCTTTTTTTTTTGGGTCGTACGAGATAATAAAAAAAAAAACGAAATACCAAAAACAACAATACGAGTATAAACACCATTTAATCATTATTATTATTATTATTATTATTATTAAAAACATTCATGTTTGAATACTGCAAAAAAAAAAAAAAAAAGAAAACAAAACGTCAAAACGTCTTGTGTGAAATTTACAAAATCTCAAATACCCACTTTCTATATACGAGAAACACTTTTAAATATTTTGTGTGTTATAACTAATTTTTTTTTTTACGTAATTAAAGAGAAAATTATTGAATTATTATTATTATTATGTACCTAATTTAGAAAAATTTCTCTTTTCCTATTTCCCCCTTCCCTTCTCCCTTCCCTTCATCCTCCTCCTTTCCTTTACTCTTTCCCCAACGGGTTTTCGCGAACTCGCGACTCCCCATATATTTGCGATTACTCCACTTCCTCAAAAAAATAATCGCAAAGTAAATATTGGTTCAATATTCTTTCGTGCACTCAACAAACACGCACTCACGCTCCAAAAAAAAAAAAAAAAAAAAAAATGAAAATTACTAGAAAATTCCATCTAAATTTCCCGTATCATCAACGTACGTAAAAAAAAAAAAAAAAACAAAAAACCTAATTTCGATTTTTTATGTTTTAAATATTTCGGGTGTAAATACAAATGCGATAACCTCAATAATTTAATTTTCTTTAACAACAACAACAACAACTATTACAAACATTTTTCAATTTTTATTTTTTTTAATTTTTTTTTTCATTTTAAAAATAACCTAACCGACATATAATGTTACCAATAATAATAATAATAATAATTAAACAATCCTTTTAAATTCTGAAATATAAATTTAAGTTGGTCAATTTTAATATTTTCGTTCCACTTTTATTATTATTATTATTATTTCTTTCTTTCTTTCTTTCTTTTTCAACGAAAATCTTTTACAACAAAAACGAAATAAGGTCCTGCCCGTTGTTACTATTATTATGCAAACCCAAAATGTGTGAGAGAGAGAGTGAGAGAGAGAGAAAGAGAGAGAAAGAGAGTGTGAGAGAGAGAGAGAACATAATGAAAATGAAATATTTTTTTTTTGAATCTTGTTCCTATATACATATTTTGATATTAAAATATTTGTTTCCCCCCGCTCCTCCCCCTTCCCACAGTTTCATCGTAACACTTTTTTAATGTTCAATTAATCATGCAATTTATATTATTAATATTCTCGTCCCCACGAACAATTTTTTTTTTTTTTTTTATATTTGAACCACTGGTCGCGCGCCATCTTACACAATTTAAAATTATTGGGTGGTAATTATAAGGAGTAAAAGATAATCAATAAAAAAAAAAAAAAATTAATAGAGTTTGCAAACAAACAAACGACCTGTAAAATATTTCATCATTAACGTTGACATTAAAAAAAAAAAAACAAAAAAATGGGAAATAGTAGGAGCAAAATCGAAAAATAAAAAACCCGA